ACCAGGATGGTCTTGATCTCTTGACCTCGTGATCCACCCGCCTCGGCCTCCCACAGTGCTGGGATTACAGGCTTGAGCCACCGCGCCCGGCCTAGGGTCTGAGAACTCTTATAAACACCTCAGAATCTATGAGGGAGGACATTTTTCTGGACAGACGCTTTCATCTGATTCTCAAAGGAGTCAGTGATCCGGATGATTAGGAGCCCAGGCAGTTAAGTGAGTAGGCTTTTTCACTTCCACATCAACACACAGTCCCCTCTGGATCCCTACAGCCATCTTACACGCAACAGGTCCCATGTCGAACCTTGCCTCTACTCACAGCTCCCTCTCCCACATCCCAAAGAGCCTTTTTTTCTGCAACCAACACCAGTTCCAGCTGGCCTCACCAAGTCCTGCTTAAATCTGCTTCCTGGATTTCCTTTTCTTCCTCAGTAGCCCAGCCAGGCTCTCAACTTCAAACCCACAGATGCATGCACCTCCTACAAGGCCTCCTGTCTCCAGCTCCCCAACCTGCATGCTGCCAGATGAACCTTGTTACCAGATGGCTCCTTGCCCTGCTCCAAGCTCCTGGAGGCTCCACAGCCTCATCACAGTAAGAGCTCATGCTTACCAACGGCTGTGACATGCCAGGCATGGTGCTGAGCACTCTACTCATGCTATCTCAACAACCCAATTTTTTTTTCTTTTTTGAGGTAGAGTTTCACTCTTGTTGCCCAGGCTGGAGTGCAATGGCACGATCTCAGCTCACTGCAACCTCTGCCTTCTGGGTTCAAGCAATTCTCCTGCCTCAGACTCCTGAGTAGCTGGGATTACAGGCGCCTACCACCATACCCAGCTAATTTTTTGTATTTTTAGTAGAGTCAGGGTTTTACCACATTGGCCAGGCTGGTCTTGAACTCCTGACCTCAGGTGATCCGCCCACCTTGGCCTCCCAAAGTGCTGGAATTACACCGTCTGGGCCTCAACAACCCAATTTAATCCCTGCACCCACCCTATGGGTAGGTATATTATTAGTCTTCCCATTCTGTAGATGAAAAAACTGAGGCTTAGAGTAGTTAACTAACTTGGTTAAGGAGACATAGTTAGGAATAGAGCTGTGGTGTGAATTAGGCAGTTCAATTTCAGAGCCTGCCTTCTTAACCACCAAGTAATACTGCTCCCCAAGTGCTAAAGCCTGGCACGGAGCCCTTCCCAATCTGGCTCCAACTCCCTCTCCCCTGTCTCCTGCTGCTGCCCTCCTGGAATGCTCCACTCTCTAAGCAAACTGGCCTAATAATTGTTTCTCTAACTGTGCCTTCTGGTGCTTGCTTGCTCTATCCTGTCAATATGTGGTAAAATTACTAGGAGTCTTTCTTTGACAGGGTCTAAGAGACAGAGTCTCACTTTGTCACCCAGGCTGAAGTGCATTGGTGTGATCATAGTTCACTATAGCCTCAATGTCCTGGGATCCTCCTGCATCAGCTTCCAGAGAAGCTGAGACTACAGGGGCATGCCACCATACCTGGCTAATTTTTAATTTTTTGTAGAGACAGGGTGTCACTGTGTTTCCCAGGCTGGAAAAAAAAAAGATTAACCAACGATCAGGAAATAATTAGATATGAATGAGAAACCAGAAATTATTCCAACGAAAACGCTGCGTGCAAAATTTCTTTTCTTGTTCCTGAGGTGGAGTCTCGCACTGCCGCCAGGGCTGGAGTGTAGTAGCATGATCTGCAGTGGCTCACTAAAACCTGTGCCTCCGGGGTTCATGCGATTCTTCTGCCTCAGCCTCCTAAGTAGCTGGGATTACAGGTGCACACCACCACACCTGGCTAATTCTTTGTATTTTTAATAGAGATTAGGTTTCACTATGTTGGCCAGACTGGTCACAAACTCCTGACCTTGTGATCCACCTGCCTCAGCCTCCCAAAATGTTGGGATTACAGCTGTGAGCCACCACGCCCAGCCACAAAATTTCATATACACTATGATCAGGTACGGTTTAAGAAAAATACAGAGAGGGGCCAGGCGCGGTGGCTCAAGCCTGTAATCCCAGCACTGTGGGAGGCCGAGGCAGGTGGATCACGAGGTCAAGATATCGAGACCATTCTGGTCAACATGGTGAAACCCCATCTCTACTAAAAATTCAAAAAAAAATTAGCTGGGCATGGTGGCGTGTGCCTGTAATCCCAGCGACTCAGGAGGCTGGGGCAGGAGAATTGCCTGAACCCGGGAGGCGGAGGGTGCGGTGAGCCGAGATCACGCCATTGCACTCCAGCCTGGGTAACAAGAGTGAAACTCCGTCTCAA